TTCCATTTATGACAGCTATATCTGACATATAAGGGAGCACTTGAAACAAAAAGAGATCTTGGTGTATGTGTAAGAAGGCCAAGACTAGACTGCTTTGGTGTCTACTGAATTCACTGGGAGATAAACTAAGATGTTTTTTCTCCAATTTCTGTGACTGTGGTATGTTAGCCTGGTATTCCACCACATGTAAATTTTTAACACAACATAGATTTCATGAGTTTGTGGCTTGCCTGAACTTCCTTTTTTAAAATCCTGACATTTGCAGATGAAAATAATCTTCGTTACTTTTAAAATTGCATTTTACCAAATATTAAAAGAAATGTAAATGTTTTGCAGATTTATTTCAAAACATTCTAAATTTCCAAAATCTTTACCAATACAAACCCACATGAGTTAGGTAATTTGGAGAGAGTGCAAACAGACACCTCTTTGTAGTAAGCTTGGTGAAGATAAGGCATTTCGGCATATGTTCTGCCACAAAGCATTTGTGGGTCTTATGTTAGAGCTTCAGAATTCCTTCCGAAAAGGACAAAAGAGAGACTTCCTGTCATTTCCACTGGTTTCTGCATGTGGGACCAATATGAGCAAAGTTTAAACAGATGCAAATGGTAAGGGGAGGTGGCAGTGTCACATATTGTTTTACATATTTCTTCGTATCCAGATTGAATTTAAGTCGGTCTCTTTTTGGAGCTTTCAGAGTATACTTCCACTGAAATTACAGCATGCTTGAATGGTTTATTTCACCAATATTTGCTTATGGAAATAAAGGGGAGTGCCAGAGGAGAAAGGAGGAGAGGAGTGGAGGAGGGGGTTGAGGTTGAAGGAGGCTCTGACCACAGCACAGAGCTCCGCAACCTTGTCTGATGTGATCATTAACCTTCTTGGAAAACGCAGCTGGCAGTTCTCTGAGGTTTGTCATTAGAATGTGAAGACAGCCACACAGAAATTGCACAGACTATTTACAGATCGTTTGGTTTACACTGAGAGCCATTGCTTCACTTTTGTGCGGTAGGAAAATGAGATTTCAGAAATTCCTTTTTGCATTTTTTATTTTTATTATGAGTCTTCTCCTTATCAGCGGACAGAGACCAGGTAGGCCTTTGATAACATTTGTACAAGTAACTTGTTTTGCCTGTTTGCATCCCTGGGTCTCTGAGCATGATTGTGTTTATCTGAAAACCGCTTAGGTGTGCTTGCGGTTAGTAGTGTTGGGGATAAACGTGTGGGACTTTGAAAGTATGCTATCTATCCTGTTGGGTCTATTATTTCAATATTTTAAAAATAGCTGGACTTCAAAATGATAAGTATTTTACCACTTTTTTTCTAAATGCAAAGAAAATAGATCTCTAAGCTATTGTAGATGTGTTGTCTTTACAAGTAAAATGAAACAGAAATGTTGGTCTATTCATTACAGAGGGAAAGAAATCTATAAATTTTTAGGTAAAATGGAAACTCCAAAGAATTTTATTTATAAGTATCTTGCTGGCCAGTGTAGGGACTGAATTAACATACAAAAAGCATAATGTGACAAAATGTACATGAAATCTTAAGTCAATAGCTGTTATTTCTAGTTATGTAACTAGGCATGTCACTTAAAACAATTAAGTGCAGTTGTTATTCTTATTATGCTTACAGAGCCAAAAAGTGTCAAAAATATGTATGGTAAAGATATATTAATTTACTTGACACGTTTTCAAAGATGATATCAACTATATTGTATTTAACAGAAATTTAGTACACAAAATTATTCTAATGTACTTTTACTTCAAAACCAAATAGCTAAGATTTCAAAGAACTGGTAAGTTAAAAAAAAAGAAAGAACAAAAAAAAAAAAAAAGGAAAAGAAATTAGAAAGTTAAAAGTTTTCTGACTCAGGAAAATCACAAACCCAACTTTAAATAAAAAGGTGGCAATATTTACATCCAAATATGTTAGATTATTCTCTTGATAATACACATCTCCAGTTAGAATAGAAAATGATGCATTACTTGTTAAAAATTCAGACTTTGCTTTTTAGTTAATTAGAAGTTTGACCACTGTGAGTTTATTTTAAATGATGTCCCCTGGTCTGTTCTTTTACATAAATTTTTAAAAAGTTCCAAGTCAGCAACTTTGAGAAAGCAGCTTGATCCCTTCTTATTGTTTACAGTAGTCACTATTCAGGCCATTTATACTTTTCGGAAACACGGAATAGCTTGGACAATGTTCTCACAAAATATTTGTGATTAATTTACTACCTAAAATAAAAGGTCTAGGAGCATTTAGGAAAAAATCATGTAAAAGGAGGAGGATATTACTCTTTAGACCTTGGTAGATTGCTTAACGATAGGGATTAAATAAATGAATAAATGTAAAAGACGATCTCGCTATTAACATGAACTGTTAGGAACACCCCTTGTGTATATGCATCACATTGATTCTTAATTTCAGAATCACATCTGAACAAATAGCAAATAACCACAGTCTAGTTTGGTTCCAAAATATATGTTTACATTGTCTAGATTAAACAATAATTAAACCTCTGAAAATTGCTCCTAATGCTTCTCTCTTTTTCCTTCAGTTAATTTGGCCATGAGAAGAAAATTGCGCAAACACAATTGCCTTCAGAGGAGATGTATGCCTCTCCATTCACGAGTACCCTTCCCCTGAGGTATTTCTGACAGAAAATAGTTTTGCTACATTTATGCAATGTTCCAAGATAGATATACCAGAGAATGTTTATTCACAGTTTGTAATATGTGGTAATGGCTTGTGGTGATGTCAAGGCTTATGAGATACATACCAATAAATGAAAGAGTGAAATGAATGACATGACTTTTGGGAATTGCTTTAACAGTTAAGGAAGAAAATTAGACATATGAGGTCAATGTAGGAAAATCTTGATGCTGTTGAATCTGAGTAACAGCTATATGGGGATAATATTATTGTGAATGTTATGCCAAACAAGCTGATTTCCCATTAAGACCACTGTGCATGAGAGCATTTGGATGTATTCACCCAACACCATACCATTGATGAACTACCATCAGTACTTCCGGGTTTCTTTTTCTCTCTTCTCCTGTCATCTCCTCTCTTCTCCTTTCTTCTCCTCCCCTCTCCCTCTCCTCTTTTCTACTCCTTATTTTGAGACAGGGTCGTGCTTTGTCACCCAGGCTGGAGTCAGAGATGTGATCTCAGCTCATTGCAGCCTCAACCTCCCAGGCTCAAGTGATCCTCCCACCTCTGCTTCCCAAGTAGTTGGGACTACTGGCGTGTGCCACCACTTGGGTAATTTTTGTGTTTTTTGTAGAGATGAGGGTTCCCCATGTTGCGCAGGCTGGTCTTGAACTCCTGGCCTTAAGTGATCCACCTGCCTTGGCCTCCCAAGTGCTGGGATTTCAGACGAGAGCCACCACAGTGGCCCTCAGGATTTATTTTTTTCCAAAAATATTTCTTTTTTTTTTTTTTTTTTTGAGACGGAGTTTCGCTCTTGCTACCCAGGCTGGAGTGCAATGGCGCGATCTCGGCTCACCGCAACCTCCGTCTCCTGGGTTCAGGCAATTCTCCTGCCTCAGCCTCCTGAGTAGCTGGGATTACAGGCATGCACCACCATGCCCAGCTAATTTTTTGTATTTTTAGTAGAGACGGGGTTTCACCGTGTTGACCAGGATGGTCTAGATCTCTTGACCTCGTGATCCACCCCCCTCGGCCTCCCAAAGTGCTGGGATTACAGGCGTGAGCCACTGCACCCGGCCAAAAATATTTCTTTTAATAGAAAAGGTACACTTAATGAAATGGCAGCTTTCCAGCCTCATCAATAGTAGTGATCTTGATAGTCGCATCTTAAGGATAAATTCTGGTAGGGTTTTGCTCCTTCCTTTTTTGTTTTTACACATGCTAAATAATTTCACACTGTCACGATTACCAGTAATACTGCTTGAATCAGTTAACTTCAAACACTGTCCAAGTTTAAGTCACTTCATACTAAAAAATGCTCATTTAAGATACATCTTTCTTAAAAAATGCCACAGAAATATTTCTCTTCTGGTTAACATACACAGGCAGTGGCTAAATTAGCTTATTCAGTTGGCCTGTAGAGTAACCTTTATGGTTCCATTCATTCAGTGGAAAGAACGGTTGCTATGCGTATTGTTTAATGTATGCTTTTCAAACCTGGTGAAAGCCCTGTAGTAGAAAATTAAATGAAGGAAGAGCAATTCAGTAATAAGCATTTATCAAAAGGCCTGAGACAAAAAAGTCAAGTTCTCTTCGCCTATATCTATGACAAGTTAATTTTTGTTATCAAAACATGAAAAACAGCTTTGGTGGAGGAATCCAGAAAGATATAATAAGAGGTTTCTGAGAAGCCAATTAATAGTGATTGAAACATACTTTAAAAAGATTTTCTATGTTAAAGTATCTCTTGGTGTGTGTTAATAATGCTTCCAGCAGAGCATTTGGTCTCATGCATAAAATCATGGTAAAAATACGTGCTTAAGAGGACTGGAGACACCCCAGATTTTTCCAGCACTCCTTCATAAATGACAAAGAGGAGAGGATAGATTTCACAATAACAAGAGAATTCCTGCATATACAGAGAAAGGTACCTTGCAAAATATAAACACAGGTCTTTAGATAGCCACAGATTATCCTCTAATCACATACCATAGAAATCAGTGTTAGAAGTAAACAAGGGCAGTGAAATTTGAATTTTTAAAGTTGAGGGAAATTTTGACCTATAAATCAAGTTTGTAAACCAAAGGGAAATTTACATAAAAACCATGCAAACTGCTTAATAATAGCAACCCTTTACAAAAGTTGGCTGATAGTTTATAAAATTGCTTGGGCATCTATCTTCTCAGTTTTAGGCTAGTTCTACATTCCAGCTACAATTCTTTGATGAGTGTTTTTAAAAGTCACCTGTTGGAATCTACTGTAAGAGCTAATATAAAATAAACATTAATTTAATTTTCCAAGACCTTGCTCAACCAGCACTATACTGTAATAACAAATGCTACCTTCAGATCTGATAACAGAATTCTCACTGTGCCAAATACTTTCACATTTTTTATATGTTTGGCAACAAAGGCATTTTGATAATTGGGTAAATGTACTGTAAAGCTAGGTAGTGGACTCTAAGACAAAACACTCCTTTCATTTCTCTTCCTCTATTTTTTGGGATGCTTTAGATAAAATCACAAGGGGTTATCTGACTCAGTTAGGATCACGTAAGACTTGGTAAAAGGATAGGTAAGGTAAACAATTGACTTTGGAAGCTTTCCAGATTAACCTTCTAGAGTGTTTAGACCTTTAGCTCATTTATTAGGAATGTCATATTATCTTTACTCTGTCAATTTTTCTACCTCCTAGGGTCATCCTCAATGATCCCAGCCGATGCAACTGAATTCATTAGACAGAAAAATCTGTGCATAGGTATGCAGTTCATTTCCTTGATTTCTTTTCTCAGAAACATTTTGGCATCACCTTCAGTCCTAAGTGATTCAGAGTGAAGGAGAACAAGAGAAAGGGTGCCAGGAAATGGAAGTCTACAGGTTAATGTGAGGACCCTAGAGTAGGAAATGAGGTAAGGACTTAAGACTGGAAGGACTTCTCGTTTCCAATAGTAAAATCTCACCGCATCAGTGCCTTTATTTATAAGAATGTACTCTAAGGCCAGGTGCAGTGGCTCATGCCTGTAATCTCAGCACTTTAGGAGGTGGAGGTAGGTGGATCGCTTGAGTACAAGAATTCAAGACCAGCCTGGGCAACTTGATGAAACCTTGCCTCTACAAAAAAAAAAAAAAAAAAAAAAAAAAAAAAAAAAATTAGCCAGGCCTGGTGGCGTGTGCCTATAGTTGTAGCTATTCGAGAGACTGAGGCCTCCAGAGAGGATCATATGAGCTCAGGAGTGTGAGGCTGCAATGAGCTGTGATTGTGCCATTGCATTCCAGCCTCGGTGACAAAGCAATACCCTGTCTCTAAAAAAGTACTTAATTAATATGTACTCTAGTTAACTGCATACCCTGTCAATAGATACTCTAGCCAGCTTTTAATAACAATTGTAATACTTGTTCGTGGCATAGAATGTATCTCTAACAGTATGGAAGAATGTAAAGTCAAAAGTAAAAGTTCTCCCCTCTATCCTATTGCCCATTTTCATGTTCTCAGGTAATGACTATGAAAAGATTTTTGTAAAAAGTATCTTTTAATACATTATTTTTAATTGAGTCCAGCTAATACCCTTTTGTCATCCTCAATGGCTCTTCAAACAGTGCTTCTAGTTTCCTGTTTGTCACTTTATTCTCACCCCCTTGCAGTCATTGGCATCTGACCCCCTTAACCAAACCTGCTTCCCAACTTTTCCTGCAATTGTCCTAGCGTCTTGATCCTTCTCACTCCATTATCTCTACCTCTTGGGTTTAACTGAAACCCAACTCTGCTTTCAGCATAGAATCTCTACTTCAGTGGAGCATTTCGTCTCTAGCTTTAGCTGGGCTCTCTGGGAATAACTCATCTGCAATTCATATTCCTATTCAACTATTATTTCAAACTAATCACCTCTAGTTTCCTTACACTTCTTAGTCTCCTCTTCCAACTTACAGCAAAACATAAATCCTCTTACTTCGTGGTGAAAAAGGAGGTCATTGGCTGGACACGATAGCTCACGCCTGTCATCCCAGCACTTTGGGAGGTCAAGGTGAGTGGCTCACAAGGTCAGGATTTCAAGACCAGCCTAGCCAATACGGTGAAACCCCGTCTCTACTAAAATATGTAGGCAGACATGATAGCGGGTGCCTATAGTCCCAGCTACCTGGGAGGCTGAGGCAGGAGCATTTCTTGAACCCAGGAGGTGGAGGTTGTAGTGAGCCAAGATCACGCCATTGCACTCCAGCCTGGTCAACAGAGCAAGCCTCCATCTCAAAAAAATAAAAAATAAAATAAAAAATAAAGGAGGCTATTAAGCCTCAAGATCCAACCTTGCCCTCAAACTACAGACATCTACATCTACAATGTTTATTTTATGTTCCCTTCTAGTCTTTCTTTCTCTCTCTCTCTGTCTTTTTTTTTCTTTTTTTTTTGAGACAGAATCTCATTCTGTCACCCAGGCTGGGTGCGGTGGCGTGATCATAGCTCACTGTAGCCTCAAAGTCTTGTGCTCAAGCTATCCTCCTGCCTCAGCATTCCAAGTATCTGAAACTACAGGTGTGTGCCACCATGCTTGGCTAATTTTAAGATTTTTTGTAGAGACAGGGTCTAACTTTGTTGCCAGGTTGGTCTTGACCTTCTGGGCTGAAGCAATCCTCCTACCTTGGCCTCCCAAAGTGCTGGGATTACAGGCATGAGCCACTGTGTGTGGCCCCTAGTCTTTCAATAAAGGGCACCTCTCCTGGGCATGGGTAACCTCCCTACACATCAAGGACATTGATCCAGCAATTATACTCCCTTGCTCCCCCAGAATGTTCAATATGTCAACGCTGACCTATTTCATCTAAAATAAAAAAATAAAAAATAAGACGGAAAAACAAAAGAAAGAAAGAAAAAAAAGAAGACAGAAAGAAAGAAAAAAGAGAAGGGAAGAAAAAAGGAAAGAGAAACAAGGAAAGAAGGAAAGAAAGAAAGAAAAAGAAAGAAAGAGAGAAAGAAGAAAAAGAAACAAAAAAAAGAGGGAGGAAGAGAAGAAAGACGAGTCCCACCTGTGGCCCCACAGTGCTCTCTAGTGACCAGCCCATGTTCTCTTCATCTCTTCGCAGACACATTTTTTGAAAAGGCAGCATTTTATTTTTCCTCCCACCTATTTTCAACACATTGCTCCCGTTTTCATTCA